GTGTGGGGGGTGTTTTGGGGTGGTTTGTTTGTGTAGCCAGTGCCGTTACCCTCTCTGTGTCAGACAACTTCCACTTCCTCAGAGCTTGTCTTGGGAGACTTACACACTCACTGCCAGATGGCACCCTTTGCCTCACTTAAGAAAGGAACAGATATAAGGCAGATCGTGCACTAGGTAGTTCTGTGCCACTGAGCCAATTGATGGGGAGAAGTTGAGTTGGTCCGGAAGCCTAAAGCCTTCGTGCCAACTGCTGATAGATACACCAGTGCCATTGGATTGCTGTCTGCCCAAGTGTGTTGGACTCTGAATTGGGCATTTCTGGCACAGGGGTCTCATTGCATCCTAAAAGGGGGTAGGCAAAGGGGACGATTTGGGTGGGTTCCAGGCATCTTGGGTCCCTTTGCTAGTTTTAGAATATGGGATCTTACCCGTAAGTTAATAGTGGAGGCAAGACCATTTGTATAGTGTCCCACTTTACAAATCATTGTCTTAGCCCCAGGGACGCAAAAAAGCGATTAATTAGGTAACTGTGTAACCGGTTAAAAATCTTAGTGGTTACATAGTTACACACTGCAGACTCCTGGGAGTGGAGCTAGTGTGTGCCAGAAGCGGGCTTTGAAGCCAGCTCCTGGTGCATACTGGCTCCTGCCTGCTGCCCCACTCCGATGAAACCAGCTGCCACCCAGTGATATAGAGACAGAAGTGCGGGGCAGCCAACTCCCCAGGAGTGGGGCCAGGAGCCAGCATGTAACTATTACGGTAATATGAGCTTATGCTTATCGGTGAACCATTTAAAATGGTTACACCCCTACTTAGCGCTACATTCTGAATGCTTTTGAATGAAGGGAAGGATTTCTTCTCTGGGATATTGAACCAAGACTTCTGACAGGTGGTCCATGCATATATGTGTGTGTATTAAACATACTGTTTTTAACAGGACGTTTCCAATCAGAGGTTTTCAGATTTATGATGGACCCATTCATCTTACTAAATGCACATTCAAAAACTTCGTGCCAACTGCTGATAGATACACCAGTGCCATTGGATTCCTATTGAAAAACCCTTGGCAGATAACACCGAAAAACAACATTTCACTCGTTAAGTTTGATGCAAATGTAAGTTTATTGCAAAATTAATTTTCATTAACGGAGGTAGAAAAAAGGAGATTTCATGAAATAGGATGAATTCTGTGTCCAGTGTCCTGTCCCAAGTGTGCTTGGGCCCCACTCCTGAGGAGTCCCCTGCCACTCCCTGCTGCCAGGCAGGGGCTGATCTGACAGGGGAGGCAGTTAAAAAACCAGTTCCCTTCATGGACTGGCTGCCTGTCGCTCCATGCTGCTGCCTCTGATACAGAGGCAGCAGCACAGGGTGATAGTAGCCTCTGTCTGGGGTGGGTCTGAGCTCCTAGATCTGACATGAGGCAGAACTGAGCTGGGCTGCCTGCCCGCCTGGTTCCTAATACACTTTAAATACACAGTCACAGCAGGGGTAGGTGCCGGACCTGGTGCAAGCCAGGACTGAGCGGGGCTGCTGGCCAGCCTGCTAAAAAACTTAACTGGCAAGTGGGATTGGGGGAGGAGGGAGGGAAATGTGTGTAGTCTATAGCATTAACTGATAAGCTCTTGCTTATTGGTTAATTGACTATACTGTTACATCCCAAGGCTGCTACAACAGGCTCCAGAAACATTGAAGAGGTTGGCAAATGAGGAGAGATTAAGCAACTTGTAGGGGACCAGCTTCTCCTGCCTTGGCTTACAGATATTCATTTAGCCTTTTGAGGGTTGAAAACCATTCTTTCCTACATAGTCACATGCCTTTGAACTTCCTGATTTCAGCCAGAAATTATTATACTAAAATCTCATTACAAGAACAGAACTTCTCATTTCTGACCTACCAGGAAATACAAGAAATCAGTGAGCCTGAGTGTGTGAGATTTTCAGCCCAACGAATTTCCATTCCAAACTTAAATTCAGAGCAGAACTTTCAAACTATTTTTGAAATGTTCATGTAATTAATTTAGAGTAACCTATTTTCTGTAGCAAGGGTGTAGAAGTGACAAAGGCCACAGACTTGAAGTTGAAGGAGAAACATGCATAAGCAAGAAGCAATAAAAAATCCTCACTGATGTGGCCCTTGACTGATAAGCAGGAAAACAAAAAAGGAGACTCGCCTCACTCCTGCAACTCGGGGATCCAGAGTTTCCCTTGCACTCTAGCCTTGGGTAGGAGGGGGCCAAGGCTAAGGGCTTTCTTCCAAGGCCAGATTAACTCTTTTGGGGGCCACTAGGCTCTGGCGTGGGGTCAAAAATGAGAGATTCAGTATAGGAGGGAGCATCTAGGGAGTGGGCTTGAGGTGGAACTGCAGGGTCAGGATGAGTGTTACGGTGCAGAAGAAGGCTGCGGGGAGGGCGGGGGGAGGATCTGGGCAGGAGGTAGGGTACAAGATTGCATTGGAGATGTGGGGTCTGAGTGACGTTTGGCAGGACGGAGGGTGCAGGGGCGGGGTCTGGGTGGCAAGTAGGATGCCGGCGTGGTTGGGGGTATGGGAGGCAGGGCAAAAGGGGAGTGCTTGAATGGAAGGGGAGGGAGCCCAGTATCAGGGTGCCTATCTGGCACAGTTCCAGGGGGGAGTCCTGGCCAATGGGAGTGACGGGGGTAGAGCCTGAAAACCAGCACAGGGGACAGAGCTTCCCTGCACTGCCATTCCTGGCACAGAACCCGCAGGACTGATGTGGCCTGCAGCTTGCCTCCTTGGTGCACCCCATGCATGGCTGGTTGGTTTGGCAGCAGCCAAGTCCCAAGGGTGCTGGACTAGAGAGATTCAACCTGTACCTGAAAGCAGAATCTGCCTCCTTAATTCTGTTTATTGGCTTCACAGTTTTTTTTTTTTAATTTTGCTTTTTTGGTTACTCCGGTTACAAGAGCTACTTAAATCACTAAATTCTAATATAGAATCATGAGGCTTTTCATAGTAAAGGTATTAGGCTGTGTAGTTGCTGACAGAACTGTATAGAGAAACATGAAAGCAAAGACCAGTGCTTCCCACCCCGAGGCAGGCAGTTATGTCAAAGAAAACACATTGCCTGAAGTTTCATAGTATAAACCTTTTTATTTATTTTTAAATAGTCGCTGGCTGAATGTTAAAGCAGTGTTTTTTTCAGAATAAGAACAAGAGCAAGTTATACCCAGCGATCACTGACATAAGTGAGTTGTGCCTCCCCTGAGGAAAAGACTTTATTTCCTCTAAGAAAAATATTTTTTTAAAAGATATTTGTTAAGATGAAATAAAGCTGCTGTAATCTTGAATGAATAAGATCTATTAGCCTGTGTAATACCTTTTGACACAGAAGCCCTGTATCCTGTGAAATTAGACTGCACGATGCATCAGTAAACATATTGCACGGCAGGGAGATGGATTATATCATCTAGGAGGCTTTTCCATCTCAGAAGTCAGTGAAAGAAACAAGGGTTTGGACACCTTGGACCCCATAATTCCTAGCTTCTGCTGAAGCTAGAAGTTTCAACTCCACTGTCAATTTGCACTGTGGCAGCCCAGGGTTGGATTTGTCCTGATAGTAATTTTGGCTGTTCATAAAACATAAATAAAAAATTACTGTTCCAATAGCAGTTTCTGTTAAGCTAAAGCTCAGTTATGGAAATAGGGAATAGATCAAAAATCAGACTTCAGTTCAGGTAATTAGTGCTTGCTTTTAGCTCAAAGAGAAGTAATTGTGGGTTGGTAATGATAATACCTGGACAAGATTCTTTAAAACCTGAGAGGACAGAAATACTGAATTTGTAGTCATAAATATTAACACAAAATTCTGAAACATCTAGTGATTTAAACTTTCCACTAAAACTTCATGAATTAAATGAACACTGTGCGTGCTATAAAATGCAATTGTTTTGCAAGTTTTTTGTCCTTGTTCGAACAATTTTTTTTCTTTTCATAAACCATATCTGACGCCTCATTGTTTTTGTATACATACAGACACACTGATAAACATTTCTAACTTCTACATGGACTACTGAACTCAGTGGCTTTATGAGAGAGACTTAACAGGAATGTTTCACTTATCTTTTATGGTCAGGTTTCTCTGAAAGTCTTCTTTGGTAAACCTGGTCCCTGGTTTGAAGACAGTGAGATGGATGGCGACAAGAACTCAGTATTCCATGACGTAGATGGTTCTGTGACTGAATACAAGGACACTTATGTTGGCAGAATGGATAATTTCCTGATCCAACATCCAAAATGCATTAATGTGTCACAGTGGAATGGTGTGATCTGCAGTGGGACTTTTGCACAGGTTGGAACGGTTTCAGTTCTTTGTGTAGTCTGTATTTTATATATATTGACATGATTTGAAGAAAAACACATTAAAACCATGAAATGGCGTTCCTCTTTATTTTATGCTTGCTGTGTCTTCTGAACAGCTTGCTGTTGAGGGATGGGATGGGATTCTAATAGCATAAGTAATAAAGCAAATCTTTATGCAGTGCATTGACTTGCCCTTTTCTATACACTGCAATCCTGTTGACCAAAACATTTAAGTATAGGGACTTTCTTACTCTTATAATTCTGTTTTGGTAATAACATTAAAATATGAAATAGAGTTTTCTAAATACAACCCCTTTTGCTGAGATCTATTTCTAAACTGTCATAGATGACGCGGGTGACCTTATATAAATTACTGAATCTCTCTGTACTTCTGTTCCCTATCTCTAAAATGGGGGAAACTGTCTCCCTTGTCTATTTAGATTGCAAACCCTACAGTACAGCAGCTGTTTTTAATCGTGTGCGCAGTGCCATGCTCCTTGGGGCCACCAGGCATAGCATCTAATGTTCTTCTAGTGGTTCCTTTTTATGTGCATTTTACCTTGTATATAATTGTTTCTAGTGAAACTGATCAAAATTTGTCAGATTACTTCAAATCTCTCCTCTTTTTTTCTGTCTATTGCTGTCTTTATTTTATTTAATTAATTAATTAATTATTTTTATTTTTTATTTTTTTTAACAGGTATACATCCGAACAATGAACCCACAGAATCTTACTATGACCATGATACGAGATGAATACCCATCTAGGCCCATGGCACTCCGAGGTATTAACCAGAGAGCTGCTTTTCAACAATACCAGCCTGTAATAATGCTTCAGAAGGGCTATACGATACATTGGAATGGACAAGCTCCCCAAACCACTTTTCTTTATCTCATTAACTTTAACAGGTATGTTTCCTCTGCTTGTTGCCTTTGATTAAAAAAAAAAACACTTGAATACAGTGTTGTAAAAATAGCTATCCATTCAAAATTACAACCATGAGTAAGAATGGAATTTGATATATCTGATATAGCAAATATTGAGACCTAAGTCAAAAGCTGTATAGAGCTATACATAAAATGCTGTAAAGAAGCATTTAAAGAAAAGCCCTATTGCTTTATTAGTGTGTGAAAGTGTGCAGAGTAGAACTATAAATAGTTTGACTTGTCACTGTTCTTGTTAAGAGTCACCCACATAAGATGCAGTGTGTCAAATTGGAAAATAAAAATTTATATCCAAAGCAGGGTGGATTGATTTAAAATCAAAGTGACCAATCACTGACATTTTCATCATGATTTAAATCAGTGATCAGGAAATCTTGATTTAAATAATTGATTTTAACACTTTGCATTTGTACTTTTCTAAAAAAAAAAAAAAGTATTTGTTTTCATTGATAATCATTAAAGCATGTTGATTTGCAATTAAATATACCTTGACACTGAATTTGGTACAGCTTTCTTCTAAACAGGACGATACTCCGTTTAGGTGGATATGTTTAACTTTTCAACTGGATGATTTTTTTTTTCCACTTGAAATACATGTCAGTCTCAGTTTTGGAGGGAAATTGAAATTCAGTTAATGAACAAGAATAATTTTTTTTATTAACTAGAACTACCTTGCGTGTGCTGGCTCCAGAAGAAGAAAAGTATTTCAAAACATGTTTTTCATTTAAAACTAACTGATTTATTAAACTGAGGAAGTATTATCTGTAGATCAACAATGTCCTTCAAGATTTTAGAACTACTGGACCTCCTCTCACATCCATTTTTTTAATTAATAGATTGAAAAAGAAAATTAGCTTTTCTGCTTTTTAATCTCCTGACTGGTGTATTAACTTTGAATGAATTAGTTATTGAACTGAAATGGTTGTTGAATGAACTGAAATGAGAATATTCTCTCTGCTACTCTGTTTCCACTATAACAAAAACACGAAACTTGTTCAAAGTGAATTATAACAATTTTGTTTCACTATGTTTTCAGGAATGACTGGATTCGGGTAGGACTCTGCTATCCATCAAGCACAACTTTTCAAGTAACATTTGATGTCTTTCAAAGGCAGACATCTGCTTTCTCTAGTCCAGTGGAGTATACATCAGTAACGTCGATGGGGGAGCTGGAGAAAAATCGATCAGCGGAGAAGTTTTATTTTGACAACAGCACTGGGTAAATTTATATAGATTGATAATAAAAGGACACATTATTTAATAGTAAAATTGCAAGTTCAATAGTGTTAAGAATTGGCTGTCATGGCTGCTTTAGAAGGGAAGTCTTGTGGAGAAATGCTAAGCATGTCATTGTGGATATTTGCAAGAGGAATCTATATAACTTGTAATTATAAAAGTAGTGGCCATCAAAATCAGCACTTGTAAGCAGACACCACAGCTACCACAGTTATTTCCTGTCCTAAATATGGGGAAAACAGTGGCATCTCAAATACCACAGAGAGGTACCTTTGTTAATTTAGTATGGCTCAAGTGTAAATGTTTGTCCTTCCTCTATTAAACAGAGTTTAAGAAAATTCCTGTTGGTCCAGAAGGAATTAGGCCTATTTTCTTAAACTATTGAGTAACTTTTTAAAAGCGACTTGAGCATTTAGGCTTGTCACTTTAGAAAATGGGACTTTGGCTCTTAAGTCACGTAAGCACTTCTGTGAATGTTACCACAGGATTAAAGCTTACTTAGAAAAAACTACTTATATTTTGTTTTTGTTTTATATTGGTATAAAATTGGGGGAGGGGGACATTTATTAACTAGTTTGCTACACAGGTATATATAAACAGGTGTATGTGGTCTTTGATACCATTTAAGTAACATTTAGATTTTCTTTTCTCATCTAGAAAGCACAGTGACAAGTAGATACAGAAAAGCTTGCTAGAGCTTATAAGTATAACAATATTCCCGTCAGGATGTGTATGTTGGGCTTTATGCACACACATGAACAATGAAGATCTCTATTTTCCAAATTACACCAACATATTTTTGTACAATAAGATCACTGTTGTTTTGTCCAGTTAATGTCTGATATGTTGATTGCCAAATAACAAATGTTCACTGATAATATACCAAGATGTGTGGTGTGAAAGTTACTGTTGAGGAGGAGGTGGATGCTGGTTTACAGTAGCTAGATACTTTTTTCTCTCTGATTAAATAAATCCTCTTGTGATGACTTCTTAAACTATAGGAGAGTTCTAATATATATCACTCAAGATGTCCCTATTATGGTAGTTATTACAGAACATTTACATAGTACTGTACGTTTAGAAAACAAAAACATTTAACCATTCCCCTGTTCCTGAAAAGCTTGCAGTCAAAAGTCTCTCCTGAGTTCACTAATCTGTACATTTGAGAAAATTTTGATGTAAAGTCTGTATTTATCAGCTAGTCTTCTAATTTCTTGTATTATTTTATCTTTAGATTGCTGTTTGTATATCTTCGAGCCAAATATAATAGGGATGGTCACAGTTACTGTTCATCTCAGGGATGCGAAAGGGTCAAGATTCAGGCCACTGTTCAATCAAAAGAGATCAGTAACTGCATGACAAAAGCTTATCCAAAGTACTACCGAGCACCAGCTGTTCTACAGCCAATGCCAGCCAGAACTACTGCACAGTGCAAAAATTGTGGCACAACTCAGGTAAAATATATTCATAAACATGGATGTAAATTACCATTAAATCTTGCCTTCCATGTAATGACCTTAAATGATACTATTGTGTGTCGATTGCAAACTGTATAAAGGGCAAGTCGGTTCAGATTTAATAAAAAATTTAAATTGTTTTTAAAAATAAAAGCCTTTATAAAAAATCTGAATATTAGTCTATTTCAAAGGCCTCTGGGCATTCTCAGTGGTTTTGGTGCCTCTGGCCTGGGACTATGCAACTGTAAATGATAGGGCCATTGCTGCTGGGGAGCGTGGGAGTGTTCTCATGCTTAGATGACATAATTGGCTCTGTGTATAGGAGAGAGCATGTACTCTCACACCTGACTACTTCAGTTCCTTCACTGCCACAGAGAGCTAAATTGAATTGCCTCTTGTGTCTGTGAGCTAATTAGCGTAATGCCGTCTAGTTTCTGAGAGTAGTTGGGACTTGCTTTGTGTATCTCCAATGTTGTGTCATACCATAGATCCTGTAGACGATTCCAAAAGTATGACTCCTCTTCAGCCATTTTTCCGTAGAGGGATGTACATGCTTGATGCCTCATGTTGCTAGGAGAAGCTCATTTGGTTCCAGTGCAAAATTAACCATGCCTTCTTCACTCTGCACATGAGGAAGGACAGGCACAAAGTGAAAAGACCTGGGATTTATTTTTAGCCTTTAACCACACTGTCCTAGCACTCCGTCAGAGGTTTCCAGGTCCTCTTCTTTGTACATGTCTTCTGTAAAGAGGCATGAGACACACGCTGCCATTCAAGCTTTGGTGCCACTCTTGAATCAAACCTAAGAATGACCTCCTTAAGGCACATGTTTGCTGGGCCTGGACCTCTCATATGACACTGTCTGGCACCGCAGCCCCCATCAAAATAGCTTTTGAGCTGCTGTCAGCAACCAAAATTAACTTAGTGTTCTAGTCAGCACTGATCAACTTTGAGGAGTCAGGCTTCCAAATTCTCTCGTGTCCCTGTTTCAGGGAAGACAGAAAAGTAGCAGCATTCTTATCTGCCAAGTGGGGCATTGTTCTCCTTTTCCAACAACATGTTACTTTTGAAGAGTCCTTACCAGTCTCAGTTCTTCCTCTGGCAAGCACCTTCTTCCATTTGAGACTCTGGTGCCAAGTGACCATAACATACTGCTATTGCACATACCTCTGACAGTCAATGTCTCCTCTCATGTCTGGGGGGCTTCAGTTAAAGCTTTTGGCTATGCCTCTGCTGCTAAGATGTAAAGCTTAAAGAACACACATCTCTCCCTGACCTCACCACCCATACCTAAAAGAGCTAGTTGTATGCATTCTGTACAACAACAACAACAAAAACTGAGGATCCTCCAATGGTAATGCCTCTTGGCTAATCCAAAGCTGGTCTCGATAGCCGAGGAGCTCTGCAAAAGTAACAGTGCTGACTGCTTCCTCAGATAATGAGATGTATAAACTGAAAACTGTTAGAGTAAAAGACTATTATTCTGCCTTTTTTTTTTTTTTTTTAAACCAAGGGGCTTCCAAGTGCTAAATTACTTATCTGCCCTACCCAGATTGTGTGGTATTCAAGTATGTGACTCCTTACTAGAGACACAGAAAAATAACTAAGAGCTTGATCACTGAGGGCACAACACTAGTGAGACTAGAAAACCACTAAGAGCAGTTTAAGACCCTCTCAGACTCTGCTGCCAGAGCCATGGCCACTGGTATAGATCTATTTAGATAACCATGGCTTACATCATCAGGCCTTGCTCCAATTTCACCAAACCTCATTGAGTGAGGTCAGATCTTTCTAATGATAACACAGAAAAGACTCTGGAGAGAAGTAAGGTGACAAGAGTTACAGCCTGATTTCTAGGGCTTCCTATTCATCAAATACGTCAGAGGAGCTGACCTTATGCTTGATTTCAGTACCTCAGACAGGCTCCTTCTATGAAGTAGCAGGGAAATGGGACATAACAAGAGGAAAAGGGACATAGTTAGAATGCTCCTAAAACTGAACGCTGTCTGTGGTTTCCTCACTTGGGGGCCATTAGTAGCTCTGCCTCTCTTCCTTTAACCTGTACCAGATGCAGTTTGGCCGTCGTAGAGGATCTGACCTGTAGTGTGGTGTTGCTTAATTTTCCATTGTTCCAGAAACATGCTGCCAAGAAAAGACTTTAAGAGCCTGGCTTCTCTACTTCTAATGTTCTCCCCACACCCCTTTTTTGGAGTAACTGTATTTCTTATTTTTCTTTACTTCTGTTTGGCAGGGAAATTGCATTTTCTTTCCAATTCAATAAAATGTTCATACTACTGTCATGTTTCATAACTCCAGTCTCTGTCCCTTGTGACAAAAACAGTTCATGAAAAATAAGTTCGTAACTTTTTCCACAATTTCTTTCCTGCCACTTAGACCTTTTTGTTCACCTTTCTCATTTCACTGCAGAGAGCCAGGTTTTGTTCTCTCGTGAATGTGATTCTTACAGTTAAGTCTGCTTTATGATGATATTTTGTAGCATCTACTTTATTCATTACTTCTGCATCTTTCAGTTTCCCATGTATTGTAGTGCAATTTCTTCCTCAGACTGTATCATCACTCCAAAAATGTTTGTTGTTAATAAGATTTTAAATGCTGCAATTTTTACTCAGGAAAAACTCCCATTGCTGTTAGTGGAAATATTGCTAGCATAAAGATTACAAGGTTAGAGCTACAGGCACCTTTTTGGTATCTTCAGTGCTATTTTGCTTCTTTCTTCCAACATCTGTATTACTTCATACTTCTGCTGTGTTGCCCAAGAGCAGAAGTGACTCAGAAACTGATGCCCAGTACAAGCATGGGGGCCGGACACCAAGAGATGCTGTAAGAATTAAGTGCCGTTGCTCATATTTGGATGCATTGATGTTTTGATTTTCATCCATACTAATACATTTATCTTGCAATAGCTCTCAAAATCTGTTAGGCAATTTTTTGCATATATAGTTCCCCCTTTCAGAAGACCTCTCAGTCTAAAACTATTTATGAATTTTGAAACTGTTGATTTGTTAACCTTTGTGTTCCCAACTCGCAGCCTAGCTTGTCTATCAGGCTAATTGATGACTAGTCTTTCAAATAAGACGTGCTGTTTAGAATTTCTGGGAAGTGGAAGTGGAGAGTGCAATCATATTAACATTTTATGTTTTATATCTAGACGGCTTTTACCAGTGATCCTCACAAAACCTACCTCCTTGTGCAGATTCATTCACTGAGCAAAGTAGAATTACAAAGTAGTCTTCAGTCTTTTATCTCTGTAAGTATTCTTATGGCCTACTCTTTAATTTGTTTTTTCTTTAGCAGTTAGAATTATGGCAATTGCACATTGGTTCAATCTTGTATCATGCTGAGCACCACTTTTGTGCTAAGCATCTTTCTTCTGAAGCCAGTGGAAATGGTGGGTACTCAGTACCATGTTGGTTAAATCCAAATCAGTGAAAGAAACCTTATACTAACAGATTATTACCTAGTAGTACCAGTCCTCCAACATTTTGTTCTGTTGAAGCCCTTCAAAACTGATTAGGAGAGAGAGGTTATTGTGGGTTTTTTTGCTTGCTTGTTTGTTTACACTCCTCCAACTCAGTAGTGATAGAAGTGGTGATGTAATGTTGTGTAAGACTTGGTCTGTTGCCATTTTTCCACTTGGGAACCAAGAGAGAATTGTATGTGATGATGGAGGTGAGTATTTGCAGGCACTCTCAGTACCCCAAGGGTGAAATTTAAATTTATATTTGTCCTAGAGAGTAATGCATACATTGTGCTGGTTAAATAGTAAAACTCTGAATTATTTAGGCAGAGACATACAGGCTATAACAGCATGTGTGTTTTGTAACGTAAGTTACAAGCAAGTTTGTCATGGATTTTATATGGCTTATTTTAAATAACAGTATTCACTAAGATGCCTGGTTAAGTATGGAACAACTTAATCAACTGTGAATGCTGCATGCTTTGCTTTTGTGCACAGCGGGATTGGTTGGGCCTCTAAATGGCACCATCTCAAAATCACAATGAGCTTTCCTTCATTCTTTGTGAAGAATGGTTGCTGCTGAGATAGGATTCATGTCCTTTAGAGTGATTGCAATGAAGTGAGAAAAAACTGGGGGGATTCTCAAGTTTTCCTGAGGAATAAAGAAGTCCAATAGCAGGATCTTTCTGGGGAGAGGACGGATGGAAAAATTACAGTTCTTCAGATTATTGGTTGTCAAAAAGGATACGAATATGTCTATAAATCAAATTATGGTAAATAATTGTGGGCAACTGACAAGTGCAGAAGAATATTACTCTACTTGCAACATGCCATGAAAAAGCAGGCAATGATCTACCATGTCTTTTCTCATTTCAGGTCAATGGAAGTAAGTTTCCCTTCAAAGATGTGGGTGTATTAACACTAGTAGTTGATGCGTGTGTTGGCACGGTGACAGGAAAAAAGCTTTTTCTTCAAGCAAACATTAAAAGTATAGATGAATATTTAAAAACTGGAATTCCGCAAAGGTATATGCTATTGTAAACCTATCCAGTTATTTCTAAAATATATCATGAACTTGAACTGGAGTACAAAATACACAGGAGTGCTATATCATGATAGTTAAACCTTTGCCAGAGAACAATATTTGTGGCTGACAATTATAGCTCACTTTTAACATTGATATGAAAACTTTTTTAGACTCAGGAAATAAGTAGAAGCACTCATATCTATTAAAGGGACAATTTTATTACATTTGAGAAAATGGACTGGGTAAACTTTGTTAAACACCTCGATTAAATCCCAAAAATATGCTTTCCTTTTCAAATGATTCATTTTAATTAAACATTGGATAATCAGTTTTTTTTATGGCTTATAGTGGTAGAAAGAAAAAGCCCCTGGGTCTTTTGAGGACACTGGGGTGTAAGAATTTGGACAAAAGTGCTTTAATGTTAATAAGTTGAAGATTTATTTATTTGTCATATATTGACAGTAAAGAGTCACTAAAACAGTTTTAATAAGGTGTCTTCATTGTTCAAACAGTGTTAGCATAAAGCTAACTTCACGAAATAGAAATTGCAATTTTAATTTAAAAGGTTTAAAAATTAATTCATTTTTTGCAGATTTTTTTTACTCTTGAAAGCATTATCAATTTACTTTTACCAGGTTTACCTTTGACAGATGTTCTGTAACCATCAATAGCTTTTCAATAACGTTTTTAATTTAAAATGTCACAATTGTTCACAATTTCATTTTCTAAAACAGTCTATTTTTCAGCCAAAAATGCGGGTTTTCTTTTTTTTTTTTTTCAATTATTAGATCAACTCTATATGGTCATGCCCCAAATACAGTGGACTTAATCAGCAAACTAATATGCAAAGTATCAGTAATGGTAAATAGTTGCCTCATCTTACTACTTTTTTTTTTCTTGGTACAGGTCTATAGTTTTACTAAGCACAAGAGGTGATATACGAAATCTTAATATTTCAGAAGCCTTAATGTCCCTCGGAACAGCCAAACCAGCTCATCTTCAAAACAAGGGTTTGTTTAATTTTTTCATACAGTTTTAAAAAAAATTCCTTATGAGGAGTCAAATTCTTGTGGCATTGCAGGAGTTGTTTCCAGTTAAGATGATGTCAAACTATTTTGTAATCAAGAAGTTAGTGGAAAATTACTAATTGAGGTTTTAAAACTTGCAAAAGTGGTGGACTGATGGCTTTTAAAGTCAAAGTATTTGGCTGGGTTTGAGGATGGCTGCATTTAATATGTTATGAGGAAGTCTGGGATGGAGGGAAGGGAATTATTTTCCCTTCTGGTATCTTATGATGCCCATTTGCATGTAAATTGTATCTAAAACGAGTCTCATGTCTAACATCTGATTCTGTAACTTCTGAATTACTTTGTTGCAGGGAGCATAGCCTTTCTTGGCTTCAGAGGAAACTTTAAACCTTCCTGGGCTAAGCTGTTTACCAGTCCTGCTGGGCAGGGCCTAGGTCAGATAGAGAAGTTTATACCTTTACAAATGGAAGAGTATGGCTGCCCTAGACTGAACTCTAATAAACGGAAAGACTTGGAACTTTTAAAGCAAGCTTCAAGAGCACATTAGAGACGAAGATGTACTAAAGTGCTGGAAGAAAATGTGAACTAACTTATTTAATTTATGGCATTTAAAACTGTACTTTTATCCCAAGTAAACCATTTTACTGTTTGATAAGACACATGCCTATGTTGACCGCTTGAATGCCAATCTGTGCACCTTCTAGTTGTACAAAATGTTAAAGAATTTATTACTATTTGTATAGACAGATTTTTCAGAATTTTTTTTCTGATGTTTGTATTTACTGTAAACAGTTTCTTTTTGTTTTATACTTTTGTATCCTGGGAATTGAGGATGCTCAAAAAGATCAGCCTGGAGAAGTTTTGATAGTTTTTAGGGTCTTAAAAAAATAATTAAAATATCTGTTTCTTGATCAGTTTGAATTGGTTATTTTAACCCATCTTTATATTTCTTTTTTTTGCTTGTTTGTTTTACACACCAGCGCAGTTATGGGTAGGCTCAGCAGAAATCAGTTTTCTTGTAAACTCAAGATAACCTCTATTTTTAATCTCTTGTCTTGATTTTTTTCAATTTCTAGTTTTGTAAGGGGCTCTCTGGCTTGGGATAAGGGCTCTCTCTGGCTGCTGGGGATGCTCCAGTCTGGTTTGGGCAGAGCAGAAACTCCTGCCCAGAGCCATGAGGAGGAAGGTGGGCCATCTGCTGCAGGGGAGGCCACCCTGCTGTTGAAAGGTCCTGCCTGTGTTCAGGCTTTGCACTCCCTGCTGATGGCTGAGTGACCAGAGCTATGACAGAAGGGCTTGAGGGGCTTCCCTGTGCAGCTGGTGACGCAGGATTCCTGAAGGTGCCTGGGAGGTTGTGCTTGCCACCTGATTTTTTTTTTCTTGGGTCTTATGTGTCAGGTGAAATTGATGTTTATCGATGGCCTGTTTAGATCAAATCCTGACCAGCCCATACCCAGTTTTCCAGATATTAAAAGGAAAGTCCTTTTCCTCCACCACATGAGTACAAAGAGCCCTAACAATAGCAAGTTTTTCAGTTACATAAAAATGGCCGTACTGGGTCAGACCAAAGCTCCATCTAGCCCATTATCCTCACTTTCAACAGTGGCCAATGCCAGGTGCCCCAGAGGGAATGATGCATCATGTGATCCATCTCCTGTCACCCGTTTCTAGCCCTGATAAACTGAGGCTAGGGACATCACCTCTGCCCATCCTGGCGAATAGCCATTGATAGACCTAACCTCCCTGTTAAAGTCTTGTCCTTCATAACATCCTCTGACGGGAATGTTCTGTAGTTCAACTGCAGGGGAGGAGAAGAGCAAGGATTCCAGGACCCCATACAGGGGGCCTGTAGATTATGCATTTATATTTCACACATTTTTGGAACAAAGCTAAAGAGCAAATAACAAAACAATACACTTCCTTGTAAAACAGAATGTAATTCTTTACAATGTGATCACTTTTTGTAGTCAGTGTGACGCTCATTTATTACTCTAACATGGTCATCGAAGTTGAACAAAAGCTTCTGTGTTAATGATTTTTCCCCAAAGAAAAAATGAAGCAAATGAAATGGAGAGAATGCTGAGACAGCCTCCAGTAAAATCTCACTTTGTCAAGATTTAATTAAGTAAATGGACAATTTGGGCCCCACCCCCCCCAAACTCTAGGGTTAGGTCTAGACTGTAGGCTTCTTTCGGAAAAAGATTTTTCTGGAAGAGATCTTTTGAAAAAACTTCTTCCTAGAGAGAGCATCTACAAAGCAAAAGTGCATCCAAAAACCTATAATCAGGCTACTTCTTGACCTTTTGGATTGAATCTTTCTTAAAATAAACACGTGGATAGCAGCTCCCTTTGGTTAATATGCTAGGTTTGTTTGAGTCTTTTCAGTCTAGTCAACCCTTTGCAAACTGTAAGGAAACCACACTGAAGTATTGCAAGCAACCCATGCAGGTACGGATTTTAGGAGGTATTTAAACATGCATGTCAAAATCTGAGAACCCAACGACCAGTTTCCTAAAAGTAGAGGTAGAACTACATTGTACCCACAATTTGAAATACAACAATTAATGCAAATTAGTCTCCCTTCATCCTTCTTACCATTGATCTGATTATTATGAGTCTCCTTTTAAACATACTTAATATTTTGCATTTAAAATGAGTATCTTTGATATCAACCTATACATTGTCTTCCTGTAAAAAAAAAAAAAAAAAAAAAAATTATATATACAGGCTGTCTTGTGCCTTTCAAGGGAAAAATGCAGAGGAGCTGCATTACAGTTGGTTGTTACCTTACAAAGTATGCTACCTCAAAATGCTACCAATAAATCATTCCAGATCTAGTAAGCTTTCTTGTGCTTGTGTGTGTTCTGTTTAATCCAGGAAGGCATTTTACTAATTTGACAGGGTATAAGGCAATTTTATATCCAAAAACTTCAAGGCCATAAATGATGGGATATCTTCATTTTCTTTTTGGTTAAATACACTTCAGTAGTTATTTTGGCCTAAATTTCAAAACACTAATGCTACATCTACACTTGGAACTATCCCTAAATAGCTATCCTCATTAAAGCAGCCTGTTATTTTGAAATAGATTTCGAAATAATGGGTATGCTATTCTGGTGTCCCTGTCACCCTTGTTCCACGAGGTATTAAGGGAGGTTGCAGAATAGCGCTTTATTTCAAAATCACAGCATCAAATTTCAAAAGAAGCTATTTTGAAATTACCTCAAAATAAGCTACACAATTTGTGTAGCTTATTTTGAGATAAGGTTGTGTCTACACCCTTAACTGCTCAACTCAACTTATGATTTTACAAAATCAAAATAGCATGTCCCTGATAAGAGGAAGCCTCAAAATTAGTCCAAAGCAGGCTCTGTTAATGTGGATGTGCTACCTCGACTTAGAGCCCCAGGAAGCTCAGGGGAATAATTAGTTTGAATTGCTCTGGGGAGTAGTCATTTAGAAATAGCGGAACCAGAGCATCCACACTCCTGCTATTTCAAAATAACTATTTTGGAATTAGCATCATTCCCCGAGAAAATCAGGAGAACAGATTTCAAAATCAGTGGCCCCTTATTGTGAAATAGGCTTGGTAGTATGGATGTTCTGCTTATAAATTTGACCTAAGGGAGGTTATTCTAAAATAAAGACCAGGGTATGAGCTATTTTGAAATAGAATTCCTGACTCTCTCCTGTTGTGTAAATCACAAGACCTTTTACCTTGTGTAAGGGTGAAGTACATCGGAGTACAGTTGTACCATTTAGAATTGGTAGTGTTTTGTACCAATTCAGCATGATTATACAAGGCAGTGGCAAATCAGGTTGATAAAATTTACTCTGGAGTTTGTTTAGGGTATTTGTTTCAAGTGATACTTTTTAGTTATGGGTTCTATAATCCAAAATCCTACCAAGGACCTTCCGGCTTTGTCTACATGGCAGGGTTTTTGCACAAAAAGCTTTTTGCAGAAAAGTGCATCCACACCTCAAAAGCACATTGCAAAAGCGATGTGCTTTTGTGCAAGAGAGCGTCCATACTGCATGGATGCTCTTGAGCAAGAAAGTTCTAATTGCCATTCACAGAATAGCCATCAGAGTACCTGCACTTTTTCTGGTAGGTTCTTTTAGCACAAGGAACCCCTGCGGAGCGTCCGCACGCACCTTTTTGCTCAAGAACTTTTGCGCAAAAAGGAGTTATTTCTTGTAGAAAGAGGTATACCTATACCACAACGCCCTCTGTTCTGCCACTTTACTGTACATTTTCTTGTGCAAAAAACGCATTTGAGGTGTGGATGCTCCGAGGTTTTTGCACAAAAACCCTATTGTGTAGACATAGCCTCCAGGTAAAGGAATATATATCCTACTCTCCACACATGACTTCTTGTCATAAAATGCAATTCTCTCCCAGTGGCATCCAGAGTTTTTTTTGAGGCACCTTCCCATCCTCTGCTGTTAGCTATCCCAGAGAGGCATAAGGATCTTGAGCAAAACGGAAGCGGCTACGCTTCTTTTTGCACAAAAACCCCTTGCACAGAAAGAAATGGAAGAAAATATGCTAATGATGTCATGACTTATGCTAATGAGGCTCTCTAACACATTTTCTGCTGAAAAAACTTGTGTAGACATAGCCTAGATCAGGGGTTCTCAAACTTGTGATACCATGACCCCCCCTCTCCATTGCTACACCCAGCCTCTCAGTTGCTCGCGACCCCTCGGGGGGTTGGGACCCAGAGTTTTAGAAATGCTGGCCTAGATGATGGTTTCTGCAATGATATTGATGTCCAGGGTGCTATAAACCCAAGAGATAATCGTGGCTCACTCCCTCCCCTCATCCTCCGCTTCACCCTCATATCAGTTGGCATTAAGAGGCTCTTGGGTCACAGTATAGCTATGCTTGTTGACATCTGTGGTCTTCATTACTTAAAGACCTTTTAGTTTTTTCCTGTGGACTTCAGTCAATGTCCTAACAATACCTTTGAGAATGCCAATGCCTTTGGTGTTTCTAGGGTTTTTCTGGTCTTATGATCTAATTTCTTTTCCTTTTCCCACTGATGCTGTGGCAAGCAGATACACAGTAACAATCTCCAATATCACATTAGGCTATGTCTAGACTGTAGAGCTTTTCCAGGATACTGGCGGTTTCCCGGAAAAGCCCTGCCACATCCAAGGATCACGTCTAAGAAGAGTTTTTTCCAAATTTTGGAAAAGCCTCTTTTAGGGAAAAAATGCAGAGAGATACACAAATTGCAGTTCTTAATTTGTGTATCTTTTTCCATCTTTTCTCAGCAGTGTAGATGTAGCCTTAGTTTGTCTTAATACCAGATGCAGGAGAGGGAATTATCAAAGCATGTAAACCAAACTCACTTAGCACTGTGATGACTATGAGCTTCATTAACCATCTTGGGCATTTCATAGTTATGTAACAATCTAACATGTTGGCAAAATTTTGTCTTTGACAAAACTGTTCTGTGTGATGGGGTCAGACTTGCAGACAGAATCCTTTTAGCCCATCTCACCTGTCTTCTGCCATGTAATACACTGTCCTTTGTTTAAACAGAAGCCCACAGCTTTTATGGCAAGACCTGAAAGTGATAGAGTAGTCTGGAAAGATTCAGAGCCACTGATGTAGAGACATAAATCATTCCATCATATGAGGTCAGTCATGTTTAGTGTCTCCTTGTGTCCCTTCCTCGTCCTTTCTCAAACCCACCAGCATAAATACAGTGCAAAAGAATTTTAAAACACACATATTCTTGAATTGTTTTGTTACCGTAATGTATTTGGTATATCAGTGACATAATTGTATGACCAGCTCACAGAGCTGCTCAAAGGGGTTTTTAAATTGTGCCAAAAAAATCTCAAACTTGTTTGCACTATGCTTGCCTGTGATTCAGTTTAACAAATCATTTACACCACA